TAAAAAAAATTGTTTTTAGTTGATAAATAAATGTCTCTTAATTTTTGGGAGAACTAGTCCAATATTTATTGTAGATTTAACTTTGCAATATTTTCTACGGAAGTGAGATTTATTAAACGTTAACTTGAAAAGTAAGAGATAATCCGAAAATATTTCAGATTGATTACCAAGTTTGCTAAACCCCTAAAATAAAAAAGATCTTAGATAGCATACAAAATTATAACATAGTCGTTTACAGAAAATATATTCGTCATACATTTATGTTGTTGTAAGAGAAGCTTACATGATTTGCATAATACTTTTATTCAAAACATCTTCAAAGTTTGGAGTTTGGTCTCATCACTAAATTCGAACTGGAACAAGCATCAGAGGTACTTTTTTTACTGTGGTAAGAGTACCAGCTTCGTCTGTATCGATATCGTTATGTGTCATCCCATCTGGACATCTCCAATCGAAGAAGTAAAGTAAGTTCAAGAGTCCCAATTCGACTGTAGCAATCCCCATCGGCATCCCGGGACATATCCTTCGACCAGAACCAAATGGTAATAGCTCGTAATGTTGTCCTCTGTAATCTACTTGGCTATCGATAAACCTCTCGGGGTTAAACTCTTCCGGGTTTGTCCAGAGTTTGGGATCTCTTCCTATCGCCCAAACATTGACCAAGATCCGTCTCTTCGGGGGAATATCATAACCTTGAACTTTGATATGAGCCATTGTTTCCCTTGGAAGTATAAGAGGAGCTGCAGGGTGTAATCTGAATGTTTCTTTGATTACCATCTTCAAGTAAGGAACTTTATCGATATCTTCTTCGGTGATTCTCTCCTTATTGTTGCCAAGGCCGTCTCGGATCTCGCTTTGGACTTTCTTCATCAGTTTCGGGTTTCTAGCTAGCTCTGTCATTGTCCATATCATGGTGATGGCCCCTGTGTCTATTCCTGCAAGAAATATATTCTACCAGATAAAGTAAGTTAGAATTTAGGCTCATTTTTTTATGCGAATTACGATTAATGAATTCTTGATTTACCGCAAGAAATCCCTTGATATGATCTATTGTGAGCTTTAAGGAATCATTTTTGCCTTGTTTATGAATCACATCCAACATGGAATCTATGATGTCTTCGTGATCTTTTGATCTTCCTGGATTCAAATGATCATCGATCACATTTTGAAACAGAGCATCGAGCTTGAAGAAAACATCGTTGAGCCTCCTATGTTGTCCGGAAATCCAGTCAACAAGCCATCCAAGTCCGGCTACTGGGAAGAAATCGGAGCAAGTGAAACTAGCCAGGGCAGTCTCGGCCTCGAACACGAGCTCTTCGATCTCTTCTTTATCGATAAACTTGCTCTCGTGGAAATTCTGTCCTAAAGCAACTCTAAACAGAATACTCGCGGTTAGCCAGAAAAGAGATTTACTCAAGTCCACAGGAGATCGATCCGCCGAGGATTCCGCCAGTTTCTTGACCAGAAAGTTACACTCTTCCTCTCTGATATGTCTAAAAGACTGAACTTTCTTCAGGCAGAAAAGCTCACGTACCGCAAACTTGCGCCGCTCCTTCCACTCTTCACCGTATGGCGTAAAACCGATATCTTTAAAATTTCGCGAGAGTAACTTCGTCCCGACAAGATTAGGCCTACTGCAACACTCTAAATCATGAGTTCTAAGAACTTCTTCAGCTGCTTCTCTCGACGAAACTACAACCACAGGGACAAACCCAAAGTGAAGAAGCATCACAGGTCCGTATCTTTCAGCTAGACGTTGAAGTGACCTGTGAGGCAATTCTCCGATCTGGTGTAAGTTTCCGATGATTGGAAACTTAGGAGGGCTTGGAGGAAGATTCCACTTGAAGTGTTTAATCTTCTTGACAAAAAAGATGAACGAAACGAGGGTAATGATGCAAAAACAGAGCAAAGAGATCGCCATTTTTTATTTTTATTTTGGTTATCGAGAAAGTGTAATTGTTATTTCTCTGTTTTTGATGTTTAATAGTTCAACACGGCAACCCGAGGATCTCGTTGTTTATACCGAGTGACACAATTCTAAGATATAGCTATCATTAGATGGAGCCAACTGGTTTACTGGCAAGAAAATTACCTTTACATGTTATATTACTATTGTCTATTTTTAAAAGACATAGGAAATTTTTTGGTGCTTTTGTTAAATATTATTTATTAAATTTGACAAATTTGTACAATTGGTTTAGTAATAGGAAAATTAGGGACCATTTTATAATGCAAAATTTTAACTAGGGAATATTGTCTCAATTGCCATTTCTCCAAAAAATAATTTCTTCAATAGCCATTGTTTTAATTTTCTTTTCCCAATTGCCATAATTCACTATTCAATCCATATAGAAATGACTATTATGCTTTTATAATGACATTAGTGTCTGGTTTTGTCCACCACCACCACTTGTCCACCGTCGTCTCTATTCATCGACGACCACAATCTCCGTAGACGTCTATCGTTTCCGTCCACAACCACCGTCTCCGTCACTGGTCTCTGTTTACGTCATCCGTCCTTGTCTCCATTTTCATCTTCTGTCGCAACCACCTTCTCCGTCACCGTCCTCTGTCACTGTCTCTGTTTACGTCCTCAGTTAGTGTCTCCGTTTTTGTCCTCCCTCGCAACCACCGGCTCTGTTACCGTCCTCCGTCAGTGTCTCCGTTTACATTCTCCGTCACTGTCTCCGTTTACATTCTCCGTCACTGTCTCCGTTTACGTCCTCCGTCACTATCTCCATTTTCGTCATTCGCCGCAACCACCGTCTCCGTCACAATTTTCGTCCATCACTGTCTTTATCTCTGACGACTATCCACCACCGTTTTTTGTCTCCGGCGACCATCTACCACTAT